TGGGTATTCCCAAAATGGCTGACCATGGATGACCTGAAATGTCGCCACAATAGGCACAAGTACTGTTAAGCAGCCGCGGTCAGGAACTCATTAAAATACCAGAAAATCTATAGAATTCTTGCCTTTCATTTTTGATTGAAATTTGGTTTTCAAGATGTGTCCCAATTTTGTCCAATCTTCATCAATCTTCCCTTAGGTCCCTTACCCACCAGTCGTCCATTTCTCCTGTGTGTACTCGAACATGGTCGCCTCCTGTGCCTCAATGGCCTGGCCGGCCTGGCCGGCGCCGGCATGGCTACCAGGAACCTTAAGGTGAACACACCATGGATCACCATGGTCATGGTATGTTGATGTAACCGGCCGGTCATGGTAGGTTAGTTTTTAATGGTTTTTGCCCGTAGAAAAAAAAAACTACAGTAGTTGAGGATCGACTTGACTGACACATCAACTGAAAATTTACAACTCACTACATGGGATGCATATCCAAGTGGTCCTTCTGTGTTTGCCGCGCATCTGAGTCACCCTGCGGGCTCACTGATGTGGAGTCTCTCACTGCCAGGCGCACCTTTAGGCACGGCGAAACTGTGGTGCAGTCTCGTTTTCAACGCGTCGCACTATAGTATCGGTACCAGTCTGAGAAAAATCGCCGCAAAACAAAAAAAAACAGGTGAAGCACAGGTTTGGCCCACACCATAGTCAAACTTCAGGTTGGGAGGTGACATTCAATTGTAACCATATGTACCCAGATTACATAAGGATCCACCTTTACTTCCTACACTAGTGACTAAGGTCCCCACCAAAGAGTTCGCACCTGACATCACATCTGCAAAACTTGGGATTCTTGGAGGTGGAATCTGCTAAATGATGCCACTATCCTGCTGGGTTGCGAAAGTGACTGGATCATTCGCCATTTCACCACTCCACTAGTAGGTGATGAGTCAGTGAGTGTTTTTCAGTGATCACCTGATATCAATGACCCTAGGTATCACTGGTGGACTGAAGCCGCTGAGTTTCCAACTCCATGGGCACATTATATGCCTGGCTGCGAAAGGATTTTTGCTGGAAGAAAACCAGGAATATATCGGACTGTATCCCACAATGTCATTGTATTCCAACATATTCCAACATTATATTATGCCAGGAATTGATCAAATGGATTTGCTAAAGGAAGCCCTAAAAAAGAAAAACAGTTCTCAAAGATTCCCTAAGTAGTAGATTTCCCATTGCAAAATTTTCAGAAACATCTCCAAGGAATCCAAGAAATCTGTTCGAAGGGGTATCAAATTGGCACCTGCAAGGACTCCACTTCATTTCCAGCAATAATCAAAGTTGGAATGACCTGGCAAGGTTGGCACTGGTAACACTGGTAAGGACCGACAAGGCTTCAATGTGCGAACAGAAACTCTCCAGCATCTCTTGATTGGAATCTAGAGCTGTCAGCTCAGAGCATCTCCAAGTTTAAGTCAGTATCTTTCCATTCACAATTTGGTTGAGGGTCAAAGTTAGGGAGCCTCCGACAAGCTGATTTGGGGCTTGTCGAAGGTGGAAACCATGTCACCATATTCAATCTTACAGGGGGGTGATTTTCTCCCGCTTCTACCCCTTTGGGGCACTGGCCTCTCCCCTGTTCTGGCCGTTCTTCTGCTCTCGCGCATCTTGCAATACGATGCTACCTCAGCCAGCGAGGAACCTGGGGTCCTCAATGCATGCGAGCAACATAGAACCAAAATTGACCAGGCGTGATAGTAAGTGAAATCGAACCCCGAGTTGGTGAACAGTTGCCAGAGATTTGCTAGCTTCAAATTAAGACACGACGGAGAGACATCCCTAGGATGCAGAAGAGCAAACCCGAGGTTCACACTACTCTGGTCTTGTGAACAGCTGTGAAACAAACCTGTGGCTGCAGTCTGTCAATCAGATTTTCATACCCAGAGAAGGACCAGGCACAAACAAGCAAGGTTCTGCAGGGATTTTGCACTGTTGGAACTTTGGTCAGAAAGAAGGTATGAACTTGCAACCTTTCAAAGTTCCGGACTATGGCAATTACTTTCATACTTTGAAGTCACATTGAAATCATTGAAACTTCCCCAAAATCTCCATCCGATTTCGCCAGGCCCCACGTGCGGGGAACCAATGTCGCCTTCATAAACGGCTGCGCCGGCTGTGCGGACCCGAACAGTCCTGACGGCGGACAGTAAAGCCATGGAGTTGCGCAAGTGCTTCGGGTTTCATCGACTTACACCAAGTTACAGGATACTTCAATATTCTATATATATACTGTATATATATATAAATATAATATATAGTCTAGTGTATACATAGTGTGTACATACAGAGAGTGAGAATATGTATAATATATATATATATTGTATTATATGTATAGTATGTTGTATGCATATTACATGCATATTTTGCGTTCATATTCAATGTGCATCCCCAGGTCCTTCCAATCAGCAACGCCTGCACGTAAACAAAGCGATCCTGCGCCAGGATTCAGCGTGCGTCCCTGGAGAATCCTCTGAAAATGTTGTAGATCATTAGATTAATTAGATACAACAGTTATATCAATCAAAAAAAATATCAATACTATCAATTGCATGATTTGCAATAGTTATATCAATCAAAAATAAAGATTGAAGAGTAAAATCCAAAATTCCAACTGAAATAGTGACAATTCACGCTTGAGCCACTTCTATCTGTGTGGGGATTGTGTATTAATCTAAACATCTTCTAGCTTTGCAAAGTCTCAGCTCATCGGTTTCGTTAAAAAGTGTACGCACCGCTCATATTTGGACATATATTAGATACAGATGTAAAAACATATATATATACAATATTATTATTACATATATGCATATATAAATATATGTCATTACTATTATTATTGTCGTTATTATTATTATCATTATTATTGTTGTTGTTATTATTATACATATTCTGACATATATTATTATTACATATATATATATATACATTATTAATTATTACATATGTATATTGTTGCATATATATATATATTAATCTTATTATATATATACTATTATTACATATATATATACTATTATTACATATATATATATATACTATTATTACATATATATATATATTATTATTATATATTATTATTATTATCATTATTATTATTACATTAATATGTATTTTTCATATATATTATCAATATATATATATTATCATTACATATATGTTATCATTACATATATATATATATATTATTATTATCATTATTATTACATATATATATATTATTATTAATAATAATATTACAATTATTATTACATATTACATAAATATATTACTATTTTTATCATTATTAGTAGTAGTACGTATACATTATTATTACATATATATTATTATTACATATACTATTATTTTGATCATCATTATTATTATTATCTTGATTATTATCATTGCTATTGTTGCCATTATCATTATCATTATTATTATTTATCATTATTGATTATTATTGTTGTTATTATTATCATTACATATTATATATATATCTTATATGTATTATATATATAAAGGTCTGGATACAAATATGGATATGGATCGATGTACAATGCACGTATATCATATGTATACATGTTTTGACACCGGCCCAGAAACCTTGCTCGCCTCGTTGAGACCTGCAATTTCACCGGACATACCTGGCAAAATGAAAAACAAAACTGGGAAGGGATGCTTCACAATAGCTAAAAAAGGCCAAAGTTTCTTCGCAATGTTACCAACTTCTGATATGGGCAAAATAGGAATCGGATAGTTCCATACCAAGATTGCAAAAAAAAAATCAGCGGGGTCGAGAAGCCTGAAGTTAAAGAGCTTTAATTCTGACCCAACGATTCCCACACTTTCAGGCTTTTTCCAGCACTTCAGAGTTGCTTCCCACCCCGGTGTGCCTGATGACATTTTGGGCAGGCCTGAAACTCAACTGATGCCAGCAGCTCCAAAGCAGACATGCTAGGGCTACGGGGCTTGGTTGAAACAGCCAAATAGGTACTGCAATCTGCACGACATGCTTTAATTAAAAAGGTTCAAGGTTTCTTTTGACAAGTGAAACTGCTCATCCAGGTACAGACTCCCCAAGAAGCTGCAGCCTCTGGCCATCTAAGCAACTGGCTCACAGCAACTTAAAACCACTGACGCATTGGTCGGCACATAAATCAAGCCCTCTCCGGGCGGGTTGGAACACTGCAAGACATCAGAGACTGGTTTCACCGGCTACAACTGGGGTCATTTGAAGCAGGTCTTAGTGTAAGGGTTTGTACAGGTGCACTCGCCTAGCTTGATGGAGTATCAGCAGCCAAATCTCTTCATTCTTCGCACTGCTTTGGGAAAATGGAAAATGGAACCGACCATCACAGGTCAGATTGGAAACTTATCGGAGCCAATGGCAAGAGCCACAAGAGCGGGCGAGCAAAAACCACGGCTCAAGGACGCCGACACCAAGCGTTTGAATCAATGAGTTGGACCCCCTTGGAGCGGCCATGACTTTTTTTTTGGTTTCACCAAACTGTCCAGGTAAAGCACGCCTGTGCAAATGCAGATCTGCAGGAAAATACTTCGAAAATCTAGCTCACAAAATCTGAATCAAACATGTGCGTATGTTTCTTTTGTGGATGAATGCCATTTCTTTGATGCCAACTCACCAAAACATCTCATGACTTGGATGACTTAGATGGGGTGGCTTGTGCATCTTGTGTTTCAGGGTGCCCTCAGTGCATCTTCACGGTCGTAGAGTCGTAGCAGGTGGAATTCTGACGACCTCCACTCTACCGAATTATGGGCCGAGGGCGCCAAGGAGTATCCAGCTTTCTGCCGGCACTGAGTCACTGAGCGGTCCAAAATGTGCGCCCACTAAGGACACAGAGAATCCCCGAATTATGGATGGAAAAGGGGTAGTATGATGACTTCACCCAGGAGATGTTGATAGTTGATATATCCTGACATGTATAATATGAACATATAAGAAACTTCTGAAACAGCAATGATCCCCACGGCAAGCTCCAAGACTTGGAGACTGACGTGCCTTTCCCCTTGGACGGCACCTCAACCCAGAAATTTCTGCCACTCAGAGGCGAGCCTCTCGCACCAGGGATGGATTCCACAAATGACCATAACCACATTGTTTGGGCAATTTGTTGGATGCCGGTTCAATTGGGGTGAACAATCATCTACAAATTATCAATACATTGTATAAGTCTCAAAGGTGCCTCACTTCAAGAAGCTCGAGAGCCACTGGAAGGCTTCTGCGTAGCCCATGCCTTGGTGATTTTTGGGATGCCCAGGATGCTCAGTTCATGGGTTGAGCCATACCCATGCATAGATTGAGTAGGAAAATAAATGTACGTATACGTATATGTATCTGTATGCGTATGTGTATATGCATGTGTATGTATATATACATATATATATATACACATATATATATAAATACATACAATACATACATATATTTATACGGACCATTTAGGGGGTTGCAACTACCATTCCCAGAAATAATGATGAAAGACTGTGGAAGTATGAAGCCAACCGGGTCGGGTCGGCATTGCTCAACTATCATTGCTTCAGTGCTTCGTGATGAAGATTCTGATGGAGTATGGCCCCAAAGTTACCGTTTGGCCGTCCAATTTTTGAAGAAACCAAGCCTTGATCCAGATCAGATCCAAATTGAAAAAATTGCCCCAACAACGCGCCGCAGCGCTTTGGCGCCAGCCGATCACTCGAAATCTGCCCCCAGCCCCCCAGCCCCGGCTACACCCAGGTACGCTTCACGACACTCACCATGAAGAGCTCGACTGGTCGAACGCTGCTATCACCCTTCTTCGCCTTGCCCATGCTCAATGCTGTCGGGTAAACCGTCTGTAAATGATGCTGAAAGGGAAGGATCAGTTCTCAAGAATAGGGTGCCCAAAAATCAATCAAGATCCAATTGTTGATCATCATCTTCCCGATGAAAACTGCCACGGCCACAACTGGACCCCTGTGTAACTGGGGCAACTCGCATCGCGACCGTAGGTCATGTGGCTGAAGAGCCTGTCTGTTTTGATCGGAATGGCTAGAATTAGCTGATTCCAGGCACATCAAAACAGAATCCTGCTGAAATACTTTTTCGAAAAAAACAGCAAAATTGTGGTGAAAATCAAATCAGAACTGTTTCAAATCATTGATTTTGTAGTGAGATCGTCTGCAATACACCTGGTAATCATGGGTGCTTTGGACCTGAACCATCTGAACCCCAAACGCTATTGCAACAGTTCTACTCTCTTCGATCGTCTGGATAGACGTCCTGCTTGCTGGAAAAGAAAGCAGTTACTCATGGTAAAACCCTTATTTATTTATCTTAATTTACATCAAAGGTTTCTGTCCAAGGCCTTCCAGGGGTAGCCTTGTTACGACCAACGCTTGGGACCCCGTTCAAAGTATTGCAATGGAACCTTCTCCTTTTATGCCTTTGGGCCCCGATGGTTCTGGAGTTCGTGGGGTCCTGAGCATATCCTCCCATGAAGATGGCACTTCGCATGGTTTTTGCCCCATTGCAAGTCTTCCAGTGCTGGTACTGGACAAGATCTTGCCCTTTGGCATCCTTTCTGTGTATGACTTTGTGAAGGTGGCACATGATGACATCATCTACCTTAGCTGCACGGCTGAATCTTGGTGGTGTCTCTCTACGGGATCCAGTGGTGACTTGTCCCCGAAGTTGCTTGAATTGGGAGCGGGCATTGGTGGAATGGGCACTGGTTCTTTTTTGAAAGGATATCCTGTGGTTTCAGTTGACATCAATCCTTTGGCATGTACTCACCTTGAACGAAATTCACATGGCACTGTGCTACGGATGGATCTTACTCACCCCAGCAGTGCCAAGTTGATTCACCAGCAAGTTGGTGAGAGCCCAGGAACAGTGACTTTTGGATTTCCCTGTCAACCTTTTTCATCACTCTTTCCAAAGGAGGGGGAGCAATGTCAGTTGGCACCATGGCCTCTTGACAGTCCTTTCCGAGTGGTTGGTGACCTTTTTACGAACTGGGGCGTTTGGGATGAATCAGCCGAGCAGGAGCTTCAGCTGAGGTAGAGTTCTTTTGCTACTCCAATCCCCAATTTGGTGCTGACAAGCGGGTCTTGGAATTCACTGATGTGGCTGCAACGTTCTTGCATTCATATGGCAATGCACTCATGGGTTGTCCATGTGGGTGCCGCTCATCCTCCTTCAGTTTGACATCATTGAGAACGAAAGGTTTACGAGGATCTCTTGTCCAATCACGAATGCATCACAATCCTCGCTTTCTTCACCCAGCTAACCTCGGTCTTCTTCTTGGCATGCCTCACTTCATCAACTATGGGACTTCCATGAGAGCTGGACTTGCACTCCTTGGTCAGATTGCTTCTCCTTTGCAAGCGCTTTGGATTTATGCGCATCTCCAACTCAATGTGCGACTTTCAGCCCCACAACCATTGGAGTGGCTTCGCCAGTATCAACATGATTTGCTGCGCCAGGTCCAAGTAGTTTTCCATTGCTCGCGCCACATCCCTCAGCTCATTTCACTTCAGGATGAATCTGGTGACACCTTGGTCATTCACAGCCCCACTGCCACTACGGTGGCCCAGCTGTTGCAAGCACAACGTATTGTGTTGGAGTGGAACCAGGCTGGTGGGATCCTTTTTGATGGGCGCCAGCTCTCTCTCAATGATTTTGTGGGCAACTTGAGTGGCCCTTATCAATTCCAAGTGCAACATGGGTCAAGAACACGACAGGCAACACCGGAGCTGATTGTCATCGGTATCACTCATCAAGGCTCATTCGCACTTTGATGCTGCGAGCTGGCCAATTCCTTTTCGAAGGGCTTTGGGCACATGACATCTTCTTTGTCAATTTCCTGGTGGATCAAGCTGGCAAGCTCTATGGAACCGATTTTCGATTATGGAGGCCGCTGAACCTCACAACTCTCGACCCACGCCATTGGCCACCACGTCCAACCTTGCATGCTGCTGGTCCCTTGGGCTTTTCTCATGGGTTTCATGAAGGGCACACTGCATGGACTTTGACGCAATTTCTTCATGCCCTTCCTTTGGACCACGGACCCATGATTATTTGGCCTTTGGACTCACTGTAAGCTGTTGAAAGGTGACTCCGACTTCCACCACTTGGGCACCATCACCATCTATCAGCGGACAGATGGGCGCATCTTATGCGTTTTCCCAGGCGACAATCATTGGGCGCTTCTTTGGGGTCATCCTCATGGTCACGACTTTCAGTGGTACTAGAACGTGACGGCCTGCCTGGGCGAGTTGCTGCATCTGCAGGTTGCCTTGCGGCTGCCTTCTCTCATGAGCTCTCCCTGGAGTGGACTTTGTCATCTTGGCACCGCATTGTGCAACAAGCAGACAACACCTGTGGAACGGTGGTCCTGCTCCATGCTGGTCTTGCCCTTGGACTTTTTGGGCTCCCTACCAATGAGATGATCATGGACTTTCATCTTTGGCTTGTGGCCCATCCGGCACTTGGACTTTGCCAGTCTAGCCCTTGGATTTTTGGGTTTGGGCCAAACCTAGTTGACCTTCAGGCTCAACCTGCTGCCCTTTTGGCCACCAAAGGAGTCCCTTCGAATGCGGCCGCTGATCGTGCCGGTGCAGCACTCAAGAAGCTTGGCACTCGCCATTCAGAAAGCCCTTTCAGAGACCAATCCATGGCAGGCATTGAAAGCGCTGGCTACCCGTCCTGGCAGCTCTTTTCAATTTGTCCTCAAGACTGAGCTTCAAACGTTCATTGACAACAAGGCCAATTCCAAACATGGAGCAGCAGTCCCTAGCCAGAAGAAGAAGGACAAGAAGACCACTCGATCTTCAACATCAACGCCACTTGAACTGGACCCCTCCACGCTGCAACTTGATGCAGCTCACTTTGTGGATGACGATGGTGACTGTGTGCCTCAGATCCCTTTGACACAGGTGGTCGCTGATGGGCGTGGACTTGCCATCGCCACTGTGAATGAGGCACTCCCTTACCTCAGGGAAAAGAAGAACATCAGTCATGATGCGCTTGCTCTTCTGATCACCGAAGATGTCCCAGCTCACCTGAAAGGGACTGCTACAGCTGCTACAGTCACCTCTCTTCGATTTCCTGTCACTTACCTTCCAACAAGTGATCCTCTGTTGATTCATGGCTGCATTCTTCAATTGGGTGACCATGAGGTTCATCGAGTTCAACAACCTGATCCAGCTACTAGCATGGATGTCGCAGAAACTCATGTTTTGACGATCCAACTCTTTCGAGACGAACTCTCAACATTGGGAGCAGATCGCAGGGTCACCCATCACGCATCTTATCCAACTGGTGCCAATGCTGCGTCTCTGCAATGCATTGACTTGTGACCATAGTTGTGGGGCATATCATGCGGCTGTTGAAGATAGTATTGATCAAGTTGTTCACGAAGTTTGGGGTCGTCGATTTCAATCCATGGAAGGCCAGGTGCTCCCTGCCCCACGTGCAGATCTCTTCTTGGCCTTCTTGCGCATTGCATCTCCAACTCTTTCTGACCTGCTGCAGGTCAATGTTGAAGGTGCCTACATGGAGCCTCGTTCCACCACTTCTCGCTCCACTGATGAGGACTATGCTGTCATTTGGTTGGCAGGGGCCAATCGTGAGAAGGCTAGTCACCGCCTGAAGCTTGCCTCTCATGGACTGTCTCTGGTCCGCATGGAGCAGCGCTATGGGATCAGAGTTTTGGCTACCTACGAGGAGGCAGCTCCTACGGCCAGGTGAGACCTTTCTCAAGTGGCTGTCACTCAAGTTTTCCGTCTCCATCCTTTGCCGCATGGACTTCAGCGGCAACAACTCGTGCAGCTGTTGAAAGATTGGCAGTGGCAAGCCAAACCGCTGCAGCCTGCCAGGGGCACAGCAGAGGGTGGAGCATGGGAAGTGGGTGCCGCACAACCACCTTCCAAAAATGTTCTCCCAGCCTTTGGACAAGATGTGATGATCTCACTTCTTCGTGAACGCAATGAACAAGGACGAGCTCCTGCAGTTGTTGGCCCACTTCGTGCTCAGAAACATTTGCGATCCCATGGAGCCCAACCATCATCTTCCTCCACTACTCCCTCCGACCCCTGGTTGGCACCAGAACTGGATCCATGGAGCAACCGGCATAGCTCAGCCAAGACAACAGCACAGGCTCCTCTGAAGCGCTATGAAGCTTTGGCTGACAAGTTGAAGACGTATGTTCACGCATCAGTTCAACAAGAGCTTGGCACTAAGATGATGGATCTGCAGCAGCACATGGGCAGCTCCGAAGTGTCACACGCATCAAACAGCTTGAAACTGACATGGCAGAGATCAAGTCCCACAGCCAAACCTTTCAGACTTGGTTCCATGAGACGGGCAACAGATTGGCAGCCCAAGATGAGCTGTTGGCCCATCTTCACACCTCCTTGCAACAACAGCAACATGACCTGGTGGCTGCGCGTACTGAAGTTCACACGTCAGCTGACAATCTTCACCAGGCGATGCAGCACACGTTCAGCTCCATGAAGGGTGAAATCTCTCACGAGATGAGCACTGCCCTTTCCACACAGATGGATCGTTTTGAAGCCCTGCTGAGCAAGAAACATCGCTCAGAGTGACTAGGGCAGCCAGGCCAAGCAAGATGGATTTGGACTTTTCTTTGGCAATGGCTTTGGCCTTTTGTCATTTTGCTGCAGTTTTGTGGTGCCCAGGCATTGCAATTGTTCCAATCACCCAACTTGCCTCCGCAACGTTGGGGTGAAGCACTACATCCAGGTCCTGATGACCTACAACACTTTAGATTTTCCAACAGTTCCGGCCTTCGCCAAAAGGAACCAGCAGCGCTTTCACTTGGTGAAGGAGTTTGGTCTTTCTCTGAGACTCCATAGCTACGCTAGCTTCTTGTGCTGCGACTTCTCGGCAGATCGCCAATCAACAGAATCACCGCCTACGACTTCATTTTGGAGCACCGGTGGCCATGAGATCCAACTCTACTTGGGCTGGTACCTGGTCGGGTGTCACAACCATTTCAGACTACCCTTCCAGCGAAGTACAACTGCCTTACCATGGGGAACGAGAATGTGGGCGTGTTCTTGTCACTCGCCATGCGATTGGACCAATGCTGTTGTATATGGATACCCTTCCGGACCAACATGGCCCAATGCGCCGGAGCTGACTAGTTCCTTTTTGGACATCCTCACTACTGAAGTGATACTTGGAGGTTGTGGACCTCGGCTGGTGGGGGGCGATTGCAACACTACTGCTGATGGGTTGCTCATTTTCAACTAGCATCAACTTGGGTGGGTTTCAGCTCAAGACTTGGCTTCTACCTTGTGGGATCAAGAGAAGGTCTTCACTTGCAAACATGCGACTGAGCGCGACATTGTTTGGCTCAGTCCTGAAGCTGCTGCCCTCTGTCGGCAAGTTGATGTGGCTGATGTGTTTGCTGAGCACAGCACTGTGACCGTCAGCCTGGCTATTCCCACCAAATTTCTTGCGCAATTGGTCTGGCCACGTCCATCTCCCCTCACCTCCGTCTTGGACTTCTTTGGAGGATGTTGATGTGAGATGGGCTGACTGGGCATCCTCGTTTGAGCGCAATCTAGATGGATTTGTTCAAGGTCAGCCACAACAAAAACTACAACGAGCGCAGCAGGGGCGGCTACAACGGACACAGCCTGTGAAAGCTGCTTCTCAGCTTCACATCAAACCCAGCCGTCCCAGTGAGGTGGTTCTTAGAAATGACTTGATTGGCACTGAAGTCAAACTATGGTTTCGTCAACTTAGAAGACTTCAGAGCTACCTGGCGGGCATTCAAGCCGGGAAAATTGAGCCCCTCTGCTATAGCATATCGGCTGGAACTTTGGTCAGCAGTTCTTCGTTCACCGGTCTTTGATGGTGGATTTTCTTCTTGGTGGCAAACCCGCAGAACTCATTCAGTGCCTGGCACACCACGCAGATTGCCAACGGCACCACCCACGATGGAGGTTGCGGAACTTCTTTTTGCCACCTTCAAGCAATCCTTTGAGGCCTACCAGTCATGGCACCTGAGACAACCTGTCAAGCTTCTGCAGCTCAAGTATGACAAGGGCATGACTGGAATCTTCCAGGACTTGAAGGCCCCACAACGTGAAAGACTTGACTTGCTGCCGTGCTGGCGATTGATGAAGACACTGCGCAACTTCATCTTGATTCCCCTCTTTTCCAGACAGGGCACTCACGGTGGACTAGTGATCATGGGGAGTTGAGTTGTCTGTCACACCCATCAATGAGGTTGTGATTCAAGTCATGGATGCCACGCAATTTGCTCATGGGGATGTAGTTGAACAACAACAAACTTTGTCAGCTACTGAAGACTTGCATGAATCCTTGCTTGCGTTTTGGAAACCTACATGGGGTGCACTTGAGACGGTTGATGCAGACACCTGGCAGAGGGTCATTAGTTTCTTTCAAGCATACGTGCCTCGTTTCAAGTTTGAGCTGGAAACAATCAGTTTGTGGCAATGGAAGCGGGCTTTACGCCGCTACAAAAAGACTGCTGCACGAGGTGTTGATGGGATTTCACATGTTGACTTGCAGGCGCTCCCAGATGTTTGGACGCAAAGGTTGCTTGACCTTCTGCATGACATTGAACAGGGCAACTCCGCTTGGCCCACAGCGCTTCTTTTTGGGGTGGTCAGTGTCATTGCCAAAGATGTTGCTGCATCAACTGTTGACAGATTTAGACCCATTGTGATTTTCAGCGTCATTTGTCGGACGTGGGCCAGTTTGCGCTCACAGCAACCCCTGCGAGCTCTGGCACCACGAATGGACGTTGAGGCTTATGGATTTTTGCCAGGATGTGAGCCCAGTCAGCTATGGTCGCTACTTCAAGCTGAAATTGACACTCCCTTAAATGCAACTCTCAACTGTGTGGACTCAGCACTGATTTGCAGAGGGCCTTCAACTTCATACCGCGCCAGCACACTATGGCTCTAGCTACTCATTTGGGGGTGCCTAGTTGTGTCACCACTCCTTGGAAGCTGTTCTTGGACAACTGCACTCGATCTTTTGAAGTGCGTGGCTCCCCGAGCTGTTCAACTACGTCGAGCTGTGGCATGCCCGAGGGTGATGCGCTCAGTGTCTATGGTATGACACAGCTTTGCTTCACTTGGCACCTCTACATGAGGGTGTATTGCCCAAGCGTCCGATCACTTTCCTTTGTTGACAACCTCAGTGTTGTTGCTCAAGTCACTGGTGCCCTGGCGCATGGCCTAGTTTGTTTGCTGGAGTTTTTTAGACTATGGAACATGAAGATTGACGAAGGCAAATCTTACTGCTGGGCGTTGACCACTGAACAACGTCGCCAATTGGTTGCGTTGCCGTTTCAAAGAGTGGAACATGCAAGAGAACTTGGTGGCGTGATGTCTTTCATTGCTAAGTTGGCTGCGGTGCGGCGAAGACTGCGACAGAGCAAGGCGCCTTTGCGTCTGAAACTTTCTGCAGTCCCAACAGTTTGTTGGACATCAGCTTTGCATGGCATCAACGGCTCTTGTCTGGGTGAGGTGCACTTGGATCACTTGCGGACAGCGGCGCTCAACGCGCTTCAACTGGCCAGAGCAGGCGTCAATGGTTTCGTGAAGTTGACCCTTTCTACGACACCATTAGCTGACCCTGGCCTCTGGCGTCTTCAGATGACGGTGCACTCTTTTATTCGTTTGGTGAGAAAGGAGCCTAGAATGTTTTCAGTTTGGCGTCTTTTTATGTGCAGCTTTGATGGTAACATATGGTAACCTTTCTAGTGGCCCCTTTAGTCAACTTGTTCTAGTCCTTAACCAAGTGGGATGGAAAATTGAACCACCTTATGGGATTGACCATGATGGCTGTGCTCACCATCTCTGAACTTTGGATGCCACTTCACTTACTGCGTTGCTGCACGATGCCTGGCTACAGCATGTCTCGCGACTGGTCAAGCTTCGCAAGACGATGTCCGACCTTTGTGGACTCGATCAGCTTTTGGTCTCTGTAGACTCTTCATCATTGACGAGTTTGCAACAGTCGCTGCAGGGTTCGCTGCAATCTGGTGCCTTCATGGATAGCTCTCTGCATGCTAAGTATGACCTTACGAAGTCTTGCACTTGCGCTCTTTGTGGAGTTCCTGACACTCAACTGCATTGGTTAGAATGCCCTCGTTTTGGCTCAGTGCGATCATCTATTGCTGCCTGGCAATCACATCATTCTTTGGATACTACTGCCTTGAAAGCTCATTTGCTGCCGTCACGCTCTCCCTGTGCGGTTCAGTGGAAGCGTGCATTGATGGCCATAGAAGATACCCAAAATACTTTTCTTTCCAGACCTGGGGTGGGCATACAACACGTGTTCACCGATGGATCTGCCTTGAATCCGAGATTGCCTTTTCAACTGGCATCATGGGGAGGGTTGAGTGCTTCAACTGGTCAACTGGTATCAATAGGCTATGTGCCAGGGCTTTGCCAAACGAATGATAGAGCAGAACTTTGTGCTGTGGTCAGCGTTGTGGCCTGGCAGAACTGCTACGCGGCTGATGTTCACCTTTGGATTGATTCCAAGTTTGTGGTGGAAAGTTTGCTTTTCTTGCAACAACACACCACCATTGGCGACTGGGCGCATCGAGATCTTTGGGAGCAGCTGCAAGACTTATTTTTGCAACTTGGTTCTCTGCGCCTGGTGCCGCATTGGGTTCCCAGTCATCTTGATCCTCAACAACTTTGTGACCCCTTTGAAGACTGGATCCACCTTTGGAACGACCGAGTTGATGCTGCTGTCGGTTTATTCACTCACTAGTAATCGACCAGCATTTCTTCTGCAGCTTCGAGCTGACGCTTTGCGACATCACGAATTGATGGCTGGCAGACTGAGGCAACTGAGGGCTTTTTACTTTGGGGTTGCTGCGCAACCTCGTAGCAATTCAAATGAACCACTGGAAGACTTGGATGTTTCACTTTTTGGTTTTGTTTCGGACCGATTTTCCTTGACTGATTTGTACATGCCTGATGTCGAGTATCGGATCCATCATGATTTGAGTAGACCTGCAGATTTGCCCAGTGGTTTTCTGGCATCCATTTTGGCCTGGCTTTTGCACAGGGCGGTTGGTGATTGTGTCTATCCGTTGTGTTTTGAGGAGATGGCTGTTTGGATGGCCAAGGATGTCAGTGTCCAATTTCCGTTTCGGAACCCTCAGACCGGTGAAGTGGAGCTTCATACCTTGAATTCACGGTATGAACGCCCCACTCTTTCTTTTCTTTATGGTTTGATTAGGAAGGCTGTGCTTTGGCTTTTTGGTCGTGATGAGTTTCGTGAGGTGCTTTTTTCTGATGTTGCCAAAACTGATCTGAGGATTCATAGGCCCACTGCCGGTCTTTATGTCAAGTTGGCTGACTGCGGTGTACAGTACAGCGATGTCAGCGATGTCACCAACATATGACTGGTTTCACTGCTTCAAGGCCGATCCGCCACTCGGGCAATCTGGCAAGACCTGCATGAGACGAACCTAGAGGCCGCAGCGGCACTGCACTGCTGTGCCCTGTGTGTCCTTGAAGCAGTCCGCGATATCTTAATTTACATCAATTTACAAACTCCACCAAAGGCCCACCCCAATATTCCCAATGGTCTGCTGGGCCGCGCCCGAGTGCATTTCGCAGCTCATCCTCCGACGCAGCTGTAGGGATGTCGATCTTGTTGCCCAGCCTGGCATAGGTGGCGGCGTATGAAAAGTCCTTGATATCGAATGTGGCTGGCTAATCTGTCGCTTCGTTATATATATCCTTCAATCCTCCATGGGATTCCCGGTGAGTCAAACCCGACAGGTCACCATACATGCTCGTCGTGTAACACATGGCTGGCTCTACACCACGAAAGGCACGTTGGCCAGGGCCTTCGAAGCTGGGAGATGTGGGTCTCGTGATGTTCGGGACGAAAACCATCAACTGCTCAACATCATCATGCTGACTCTGACCCATACCTGGGTTGCACAGGTGATTGCCGCCCTCCCACCTGCTCGTTCAGAAGGCCGTTCAACTCCTCATTGGCTTCCTGACACCAGCTGAACCACTGACACGAGCTGGAAACCCATCAAACAAAAGAAAAATGGCACCTTGGTGTCAGTTCGACAAAATTTGGTGGTTCGATGATTTATCCTCGGAAAGACTTCAACCAAAAAAATCACATCACGCAAGCAGACCTTATGTCACGGCCATCCATATCATGAATGGGGAAATGGTCTTCTAAAGCATTGGTGAAAAATCATGGTCCCAATATCATCAATTGGGAACGCAATTTATCCATCCATCAACATCATCTAAACTATCGGATGATCAATATCAATCAATAAACCATGAATCAGGGGGACCCATTGATCATCAATAAACCAGTTATAATGGTATTATAATAACTATCAATGGTAAAAATAACCATCAATAAACCATGGTATTATAAGATGACCCATGGTTCATTTTACCATTTTTCAGCCGGGGGGGACAAACCTGCTGACCCAGCAGGGTTGGTTTTCTAAAAAGGCCTGAAAGCGCGTGCGGTCTGCGGCATCCACCAAGAAGATGATTCCATCGACCTGGGCGTTGTTCAAATGTGGCAGACTGGGAAATCCATTCTATATATTTACATATGTATATATATATATATACACGTATATTATACATATATACGTATATATCTATCAATGAAGGTTTATAGCTGGAAAAACATCTATAAATGCTGGATTCACCATTGCCAGGTTGGATTACCGGAGGGTTCCCACTTGATATCTTTTGAACAATTAAAACCTTAGTTAAATGCCATTAAAATGCCATGGTTTGATGTATATCTTAAACCCCAGTAAGCTATTGGGCCGGGATTTCCCAAGCCACGCTCAAAGTACGCCGGGATGTCTCGCTAGCTGGTGGACTCTGATGAGCCGCCATCCAACCACGGCCCCTCAACGATTCCTATGATGGCATATGCTAATTATTAATTATATCATTTATATATACATAATAATGATAATATATATATAGTGAATATATTGTGAATATTATGTGTATATGTGTATATATATATACACCATAAGTGACCATAAGTCTACATGATCCAGACATTCTTTTCTCAGCTGTCGCCTTGGCTGCCCCACGGTGGCGAAGTAGTCCTTCCAGATCCGACGCGCGGTCTCGTGGCCACCCAGGTCATAGGTGCGGAAGCGGATGTTCTTGATCATCAGCTCCTGAATGACGACCATCCACTAATATGGATTTAATAAAGGGAGGCTCTAATGATATTAGTGGTCTACTATAATAAAATGTGGATATACAATATGATCTACAGTAATATGGATCACCGTGGTGAAAACTAACCACACATGGAATATGAATAAAGATATTTCAAGATCATGTGAAAAAATGAACCCAGCCCATTACGCCATGAATTTCCTCAAACCTCAGAGGCTGGACTGTTCATTGAGTGACAGCTGCGATGCCACCTTTCCCCAAAGTAACCCCAAGTTGGACCATGTTGTTGGTAGCATATCGATGTTAGAAATTGCTGTAGAGGAATCCATTCGTATTGTGGCACCAAATCTGTTGTCACACCAGATCTGTTGTCACACCGATATCAAATCAACATAATTCAACATCTACATACAATTTGTCCAAACTCAACTCAGATCTAAAATCGTCTAAGTCAGAATGATCCACAGCCTCATTGCACTGTGGAACGCACCTCCGAGTGAGGATGAAGCGTAGGAACGTGGGTGGCGATCCTGTCATCCTGGCATATCCAGATCATCGTTTTCCCATGTTCCCTGTGTAATTCGCCAATTTTCAGACACAAATATTGGGGGTTTTAGCCAGTTAGTTGTCCCTCTATCTATTCTTGGGCCATTGGGACAACAAAAGCAATGCTGGAGGGACAAGGTCAAATCTCTCCATTAGGTCGAATTGTTTGGATGCAACTAACCAGGTGCAGTCCGCTATTATATCTATTATCTATCACACACGGCCAACGGTCCTTCAACATGTGGAGAAGGGTGGTCTTGCCAGCATTGTCAAGTCCTGTCCGCAGGATAGGAGTACACAAAGCCCAAGTCACAGCTCAAAAGGACAAACCGTAGATATATGAATTGTCATATTTGTCATGTTGTTTCGGCCTTCTGACAACTGCAAGTTTCACAAGTCTGGCTGTGATTTCCGATTGAAAACTGTTATGACTTCTCCCGTCAGGGTCCCAAGAACAAGATCTTCGCGTTCTTGTTGCTGAGGCCCAGGTAGCCCAACACGTCGAAGAACCTGGAAACTCTGGCAACACACTGTCGAAAAAACAACCATTGGGCCTCAGATGGCCTCAGGATTTGGATTTTTGAGATGTTTGTCAACTCCCTGGAAAACTACAGTTTTGACACCTCAGGAGTTCTTAACTTGACTCAACACCATGACCGTGCCACCTAAGTTTAGCAAAATCGAAATCGCTACTAGCAGCCTGCATCGAAATCACCATCACTATGATCACAGATCCTAAAGATCCAATCACTATTATCACTATTATTAGATTATTAGATTATTAGATGATAGGGATCACTAGTATCAGCTGATCCCTCCAAATCATGGGCGCGCAGGCAAGCACGCCACGCCAAGATCCCTGGCCAGTTCACCAGGAACATCGCGATAGCCTGTGTCCCATTTTGGGCGGCCACAAATCCATGGGCATCATCCTTGTTCTTAGTATAGCCCTGTGCTGCAGGTAACTGAGGTAGCTTAACTTCATCTTAGGTGATGAAAATTATCTTGTTGGTAAATCAGTGTCTTATTGAGTTTGGGATTTACAAATTACATCAAATTACAATGTTCATTTGCCAGGGCCTGGAGTGCACTGCATCCCCATTGTTTATTAACATACTCTATTCTTGTCTTTTAATACCTACTAGAATTTATTGCACTTTGTCGGTTGAACCCCCCTGTTTCTTGATCTTCTCAGTTTTCTTGCCTTGTTTCACTAGAACTGTCATGTTCCTTCATTGTGCCCCTCATTTTGGGCGTGTTCCTGGCAACAACTCTTATGTTTGGCATCCCTCGTCGCACGACCCGCTCCAAATAGACATCAATGAATGGTAGTTGATCAGCCCATCATCCACGAGATTTCCCACTGTTTACTCCTTAGAGACCTAAGAATGGTACTGAAATCCCATGCGTTTCCCGCGTTTGACCACCAGCGACCGCTGGTAAGTTCTCACCTCGGTGTCGCAGACGCGTCGCTGACTGAAGTCACTGTTCTTTTGAGCTTCAAAGCTGCAGCGCTGGAATCAAAAATGAATCCTTTCTCTCTCAAATTAAACCAAATGAAATATGAAATAATAAGAAATAGCCATTCGAAGCCCTGGTCGAATGTTTTGGATCCAGCAGGAAGGCACTTCCAAAGCTTGCCAAAACTGGAGATGACCTGGTTCCCTCTTATCACCCCCTTCAAGCAGACCGTAGATTGATAGGTGAGAGATTTGAGCATCTCCCGCAACTGAAAACTATCTGGAGTTTTTGCTCACACTCCCTGGGAAACTCACTGATCACCCAGAAAAAAAACATATGTTTTTCCGTCTCGGACCAAGATCATCCCATCTTGGGATTTGCCTTGGAGAGGAAGCCTGACCCCATCCACTTGATATCTTGATATTTGGCAATTGCTGGAACATGGTCTTTTCATGTCTTTTCCGGATGGTGAGCAGGCGGAACGAGAGTTGCATTGGCAGCCAGAACTTCATGACTTTCCAACCACTTTGATTCCGCAAAGTCCTGGAGGTTTTCTGGCAAACACCACGCCTTTGGTCGTGTTTTCATCTGTGTCTTCTATTGTTTTCTAAACTACAGGGACTTCAGAGAGATGCTGGCGCTGGGAAGAAGGTGCTGCAACAAACATCCAACTGAGACGCGTAAAAAGTCCGTCACAACTAGAACCGTGGCCAGCGCATTCCCAGCGCGGTCAGCTCAGAACCGCCTCTGTGCCATGGGGTTGGGGCCCTTGGAGCCCTTGGGACCCTTGGTACCCTTGGAGTCTTCGTTGTGCGCGAAGGTCCGAAATCAGTACTAGTATCTCCATTCCAATGGAGAAATTGTGTCCATCAAAAGGGTGTGAATCCACGACTAGAGAAGCAAGCGACGCCCCCTATCAAGCCACATCCATCAACACTACGAATGGCAAGTCAGCGTCCAAGCTCTCACAGCAACATGGTCCCTGCGTCAAGTCAACCCGTTTTACAGATTTTCCCAGCTCATCCCTTCCCCTCCATCTGAGCTCATGACCAAGACCATTTCCAAAAGCCAGCATAAGCACAAGGCCAAAAGATTCAAATCTGGCTTATCTTACCCATATGACATATATATATGGTAGGCCATTCCTCTCCAAACCTCTGAAAGACTGGCGCCTGTCGAAGCCCAGCCAAGTGCAGCCGATCCAGGAGCCTCTGCAGTTGAAGCTGCACCTGGGCATTGTGGAGGTCTGGGCAAACGCAGAGAAAACAACATGCGGTTGGTTAAATCATGATAAATCCATGTACTCTAAGGTGCCTGCAAAGCAAGGAGTGTGAAATATCTCGTATCAAGTCCCACCAAGATATTTGGGGTCTTGCTACTGCTCATCTTCCAAATGGAGGCAGAAACCTGCCAGACCCGTCGTGCGAGTTGCCTCATTGAGTGCATCTTGCTGCTTCCGTACCAGGGCCGTTGTGCCCAGCAAATCCTCCTGGGAAGGAGGGTCCCTGCTGGACAGATGATGTTGTAGTGGGCTCATGGGCTTACGTAGTCTTCAAACACTCAAACATCAAGGATTTGAGAGGGTATCATCAGGTTGCATCACGTTGAAGTGAAACAACTGCCCCTTTAGATCTATTTGGGACTTTGGGACATCAAAATCCCTCAGTTCATCCGGGGGTCAAAGTGACGTCTCCACTCTTCAAGCCTCACTGAGCTTTTTCTGCAACTCTTCCCGACAAAGGCTGCGAAGCCTCAATGATGATTGCTGTCAATAATGGACATGGCCTCCTGGAATTAGATGCCTGCCTATAGTGGATCAATAATCAATAATCCAGTCCAGTGTCTTACGAAAATCGTCTCATCTAATCAGTGGAAGAAGATTTCCATCCTCGACATGTTCAGCTCCATCGGCTGCCAACGAGTAGCTGTGGCAGCGCAACGCTCTTCTCAGCCCGCTCTGCGCAACTTTGCAATCTGGTCAGGAAAATCGCATCAAACAATCCTGATGAAAGTGGGTTTGTCACGGTTTGTCTTGAATTTTCACGACACATAACTTTTTAAGTTGGTTGGGCAAGTTGAGAACATAAGATTCTCTAATATTTGATGATCACTTGGAGAATATCCTGAAAGATCCTTAAGTTTCACTTCACCTCGAGAAGCTGCAGAGCTACGAGGACCTCGCCTTTCCTCCTGCGTGCTCATGCGGCGGCAGAACATCTCGACCCTCACCTGGCATCGCAAAGTTGGAGGCAAAAGTCCACCATTTCCTGGTCTACTGAGTCTGCTTGCTGCGGCACCCAAATGATTACGTCCCAGAATTGCAAAGCCATACTCTCGCAAAAATACATGATTGGTAACATCCAGTGAATCCAGTGTATTTGGGGCCGAAGACTCTGGGACACCTGGACATCCGTATCCGTTCCCCTTTTTGGCCGCTTCGCAGGTGCCTCACTTTGGGCCTGCCATGGAGCCGTTGGTGCATCCAGGAGGCCACTGGGTCCACGGCCGCAGCCCAGCGAGACGTCCCGGGCCAGCTCAACCAGTGCCCTCACCAAATCAGCAGTGGCCACCTGTCGTCGCCTCAGATAGGTGGCCAAGAGGTCCACCTCCCTGCTACAGTCGAAACAGCGACAAAGTCCTACGGTCTTCAAAGTTTCTTCATCTCCAGCTCCAACAAAGCTGGGCCGTGGGTAGATGGAGATCCGTGTGACGGTGTTAAAGTAGAACAATTGCTCCCACATGCATTTGTGATCGTAAAATTTGGTGCTTAAAGGTACGTCCTTGCTAGGAGGTGTCACTAGCAACCGGCACTCCGTGGTAGTTTGCGGCCCCCACACAGGGAGCCGCATCTCCCCAGCCAGGCCTTCGGTGCAACCTTCAGTGTAGGGGAAGCGAAATTTCAACAGGGCTCTGGTGGGTCGCAACAGATCTACCCAGTTCTGTTGTGCCTTGAGATCTCCCAACAACCGCTGGTCGTGTTCTTCCGGTGTGTCCTTCTGCCAGTTGGCCGTGCGAATGTCGCTGACAAACAGCAGCGGCACCTCTGACAAGGTCGAGCGAAGGTGTCGTGCCACGTCATCAGTGAAATACTCTTGATGCACACGAAGATTTGGGGGAGCTGCCGGTGGCAGGGCTGATTTTGCAAAGGGTCTCGGATCCCACGCGTCCAATTGAATATCTGGAAAAAGCTCACAAAGGACTGCCAAATGCTGACCCTCAGCAGCCCCCGCATAAATCAAATGCTTTGCTTCCTCCGCAAAATCCAGTAAAAATTCCAGTTCCGCCATAAAGAGTTTCCGCTGTCCCCAATGTACCGTACTCTTGGGTTCCTCCAGCCGTTGCCGATAGGTCCGTGTCGGGGCATCCTCCGACAGAACTTTGGGCAACGGAAGGTGATCCAACTCCGGGAAGTCATCCACGGCCAGGGCCACCCGCTGCCAGGTGTGGGGATTCGCCAAGGCCGTCCCCGGATCGGCACAGCGCTGTGCCAAGGCAAACTCCGCGGCCCAGGAACGGCGACCCGTTTGCCCACGCGCCAAATTGCTGGGATCCAGAGGGCTCTCCATGGTCCAATGGTCCAGGAGAAGTGGAAAAGATGGGACAGTAAAGTCTGAAGAACCATACTCAACGCACATGATTTTCTGTTTCAAAACTTACCAAAATGGAGTGAAAAATCAACAAGACTGTGAAGACCGACTGTGAAGACCGTAGTCCAAGCAAGGAGTCTTGGAAGCTGATCGTGTACTTCTGAGCTGATCCAAAAAACTCAAATATATATATATATATTATTCTAATTAAATTATATTATATTATATTATAATTAAATTAAATCAAATTATATTACATTACACTACATTATATTATATTATATTATATACATATATATTTATATATATATACATATATATGTATATATTCTGTTCTGTATTCCTGCAATGATCCAAGATGATCCAAGAATACCAGACTTGAATTCTTTGGGGCACAAGATTCTTTGGGTGTGATGTCCAAAAACTGCATCATAGTGCACCCACATGTCCAAGACAACACAATTGGATCCGTCTGGGAATCCCAACCCCAGTCCTAGTGTTTACGCCCATTGTGGCCTATGGATTGCTGTAGCACATCATAGGAATCCCAACCTGGACCTACCCACATTTCTGGACGTTTCGGGTCTCCCCTCCTTTGTTCGTTCAACAAATATTTATTTGATGTTTATCAATATCCCGTGTCTATGCGGTCATCCCCATTCACATCGCGTGTGAAATTTGACGAATATCCCCTGTTTGTTGCGTTTAATCTCCCTGATTTTTCGCTCCAATCTCCCCCATATCTGATGCCTCCAGCTCTCTCAGTTTTTCAGCACGTTCAGCCCCATCTTCTGACTCCCGCCTCAGTAGCAGCTAGCCAATTCCTGACAACTCACTCCCGTCGTTTCCTGATGTTTGATGGACATGTGCAGACAAAAGTTGAGTGCAGGAAATGGCTGGATATGTCTATGTTGGACGAATCCATCAGCTCTTCCCCTGCATCTTCCGACTTAAAGGCTGTTATGCCATGGACATGGTTTGGACCCCGCGCTGGAATTTCTGCAGCAGATCAGGGACCTCAAGCATCGAGGGAATCAGTCGGAGTGAGTGAGTCGATTGGGTTGCGATGATATCTTCCAGGTGTACCTGCTTTAATTATGTCTAAAAACAAATTCAAGGTTTGTTTCCGAATCACCAAAGCCAGAAGCAGGGAGGGTCCAAACCACGACATGCTGGCCTCACAAAGGCTTGTCAAATTTGGGAAAAAGTACGACTGGTTTGGTCTGCTCAATCTGGGGGTTAATCCTTCAATTTGATTAATCAAAAAAACCAGCGAAAAAGGATAACTATCCATCCAAGATCCAAGCATCTCCATGTTGTCTTGTCTGAGATACGCTACACCCAAATTCCCGATTATCAAATTGTCCACATTAAAATTGCCTTTGATTTGGGATGATTTGGGCGGTTAAGCCCCTCCAGCTATTAGACCCACGTCAGCTCCTGAGGATGTGACTTGCTTTTCGAGGTCCGCCAGCACCAGCAGGAGCCGGTCCTGTGAGCACTTGGATCTCGGCCGGAGGCACCAAGTTCTTGGAGTAGTGGATTGATGATCGACCCCATTAAAAATAATTAAAATACATGGGTTTGGGATCTATCTACTTATCTACCTTCCTAACCTACCTACGCTATCTGTCTGTCTATCTAATCTCGTCCAATCTAATTTAATCCAGCCCTGTCTAGTGTAATTTAATCTAACTTAATCTAACCTAATCTATATGCTGTAACCTAATCGAATCTATCACTCATATCATATCATTTTGTCTCATCTCGTCTCATCTCGTCTCGTCTCATGTGTGCTCTTGTCTATGCATGCGCTTATGTATATTATATGTATATACATACACATATGTATCTGTGTGTATATATGTTGTGTTTTCGTTCCGAGCGATGTTCATATTCCACATGTTCTTGGAAGCACATCACAACGAGTTGTATGCCAAGGGTCCTCTTCCAAGCGGGTTCCAAACATCAGTGGATGCCGCCTGCATGTGGCTCAGTCACTTCAGCACGAGGGCTTAGGAAGGCCCGGGACTTTCGAACGGTGTGAGCGCCGCCATAAAGTGAGGTTTCTCTGGTGGCTCGGGAGGGCCAAAGGTGTGTGATTGGATCAGGTGGTCCTTCAGTTTAGGAGGATGATAGGATAGGCACGGGGCCTGGTACTAGTTTTACCATATGTATGTGGATATGTACAAGTATATCCGTACATATGTATCTACCAGTAGTACCGCGCAAGGCTGTGGTGGAAGTCTCAAAGATAGTAAACTATAGGAGAGGTGAGTTGTTGTGATGAATGGATGGCAGAGCGAATCCACTGATGGACCGAAGGTGGTTGTGAATTTTGGAGTAGTTGCAGTGGCCACCTCACCCACAACTTCAGGATGTAGTGTGGCATAGCGAAGTGCAATGTAATTGTATTTGAATTTGTAGCTGTACTTGTAATGTAGTTGTAGTTGTAGTTGTAGTTGTATTCGTAATGTAGTTGTAGTTGTAGTGTAGTTGATGCTGTTGAAGTTGTAATGCGGTAGATGTAGCTGTAGTGTTGCTGAAGTGTAGTTGAAAATGTAGTTGTAGTAATTGAAGTAGTTGTAGGAGTTGTGGTGGTTGTGGCTGTGGCTGTATCTGAGGTTGTGGTGTAATTGTAGCTGTAGTGTGGTGTCGTTGTCCCTCTATCTATCTGTCTATCTGCAAGCTTGAAAACGAAGCTATTCTGCGACACTTCCTCAGTTTTTGAACTTGACAACATCAAAAACGCAGCAATTTTGCCAGACTTCCTCATTTTTTGAACTTGACAACGTCAAGAACGAAGCAATTCTGCGAGACTTCCTCAAATTCTGAAAGGTTGGATTCAAAAACGGAAAGTTGAGTGCAGAGCTGACGGCCTCGTACCAAAGCGTTTTGCAATTATTCCATTCCATTTATCTAAAGTACTGCACTGCCACGAAACAGTGATGCCAGGTCATGCGGTGCTGCACCTGTCACGCAAAATCACCTTAGCAAACCTGAAGATCTGACGCTCCAAAATGCAACCCCTCTCAGGAAATCTCCGCCCTGACCTCCTACAGTAACATCTCTGATGTTGCGGATCCTCTTCACATGTCCCACGCCTGCCGACCGTTTTGAACATGCTACAAAACCCTCACGTTTTGCTCACTTTTGGCTGACCTCAAAAAGTGCTCCAAGATCGCTAGTATTTTACACTTTTTGACTTCGACATGTGCTTCGCGCCACAATGGCGCGCGCTTTTTTTACATCTCAACTTCCAAAATTGGTCCGAGCATGGTGTGTTTTGTGCACTTTGACTTGGAAATGTGCTTCGCGCCACAACGGCGTGCAATTTTTCATCTCTCATCTGCCCAGATGGCTCCGCAACCGCCGATTTAGCGAGCCTACTTTTCGACCCTCTGGAGCCACAAATCATTGGAAAAACACAATGTTTCGCGACTTTTCTACCTTTTCGCGCACCTGCATCTTCTTTCTTCTGACTCTTTCTCTTCTCTGATCTTCTTTCTTCTTTTCTCTTCTTCTCTTCTCTTCTCTTCTCTTCTCTGATTCTTCCTACCTCTGCTTTTCCATCTGTACATATTGTCGGAAGTTTGACTTCTTAACTCTTCCACTGTGTATATATATATAATTATGTATATATACATATAGTGCATTTCGCATGTTCTGTCTTCTGGATATCTCTCGATGCATCCATAGATCCCCCATACATGGCAGTCACAGTATCATATCCTGGGTGAAGCGCCCACTGCTGAGCCCACCGATCTGCGAAATGAGTCCAGCTGGCATGCGCCGAAAGGAAAACTCATGCCGTTCCACCTTCCCATCGCCATCAAGTCATATCAACTTGATCAAGATCCATTCAAGTATTTGTGTTTTTCCTATTCTATAATATGATGATGTTGTAACCCCCTTTACAATCAGATCATCACATCATTCTCACACCAGAAGCCAGTCCTCCAAAGTTTCCCGGAGGTCCAGACAGAAGTGCTCCAGCTGCTCCAACTGCCGTGTTGGCGGCACGGAATGCACACAGCAGAAGTGCACCAGTCCAACGGTTCGGTCTGCGGCATCCGATGTTTTGTTCTCTGAAATTACTTTGGTGTAAGAAAGACGTGGAACTCAGTGGAACTCAGTGGAACTCTGAATCCCACCCATTAGCGAATCATTAGCATCTGTGTCTTCATCTCCGTCCCGTCTTTGCTTGCCGCTGCTTGCCTTTACCAAGACCGCATTTACAAAATCCTTCAATGGCAAGGATCATCTCACAACAAAGCTCCGGGAACGTGTTGGCATCCTTCGCCCCATAAAACAGATGTCTTTCTCTATCTTGACATTACCATACTTCACCCATCATATCCTTGCAAAGAAGCTTGCCTTCTCTTCAAAAGGCATTGCCCCTGCTTTTTCTAGGCTTGGCGATCCAGGTTCAGCAACCTGCAACGACATCAACAGCATGGTGAAGACTGCGTAGTTCTGGTGTCTACGGTGTCTTCAACAAATAGTATTACATTACTCTACCCCACAAGACTTGCATAATTGTCTTTGCCGCACTTGATCAACTTGATCAAAGCATTGGCAAGCTCGATGAATCAACGAGACCTCAGCTCCGCCCGGTTACCAATCCACAACGATTGAAGCACCTGAACTGACAACGAAGGACTCTCGCATCTCCTGGCAACTGTGACTGGTCTGTCAGCCACCCCGCGCTCCCAAATAGTCAATTGGAGTCAACATCGTACACAGGATGGAAATAAAACAAAACTAAAAGGAATCCTGACTCCAGCAACCAAATTATGATTCTAAATGAACCCCAGCTCATGGGTCCTGTAGAGAACTTCCAACTCTATAGCAGCTTCAAACCACAAGGCCCTGCAGGCCCAAACACGGGTCCTTGAGACAGATACCTGGCACGTGGAGCTATGTTCAAGACTGTATCTTCGCTGATGAATTCATCCCTGGCCAAGACATAGACACAGCAGAAACCATAATTTCAGCATACTTCGGAAGATTAGCAATCATTTATCATCGTGTCATCGATTCCATCCCGCTCGTTTTATGATATTGCTCTTGCTTCTACAACCCTTCCTGCATCTTTCCTGGCGTCATGGTTGTATTGATGATTCTCCAGTTTGGAAGCGTCACGTTTCTCCTCCAATCTTTGTTACCCCTTCGTGTTCCAAAAGACCTGACAAAGTTGTTCCTTTATATCGTTTTTCATGTTTTTTCCAAATGTCCCTCACCCAATCCATGGTGAAACTGCTTTTCTGCAACTCTTCCGCGCCGGGGCTTTGCCGGAGGTAAGCTGCTTTGCTGCTGCAACTCCACGGCAGCATACCAAACTGCAATAAGGTACGCAGAGTCCGTATAGGAGAGATAGATGGCAAAGAGTTCTGGGTCAAATTCACAAGCGCAAAACACCTGGTGGCCGAAAAGGCAAAAGAACACGAAGTAGAAGGGCACAGCATCTCAACATCCACACATTGCATATAGATATGTTATTATAGCTTATCAGAATCCAAAACACTTTGAGAAATCACAAGGGGAGAACACTCAGGAAACCCAGGGAACCGTCTGCTTTAAGATTATCGGGCCAAAGATACAAAATGTCAACTGCGTACAAGCACAAGCAGCTGCGACGCAATCGACAACTACCCATTAGCACAAAAAGATGCCTTCCCTTCATGCATTGCCAAAACAATGTATGTGCTGTCCATGCTCTCACCCTTCAGCTGCTCATTTGCCCATGGAAAAACCACCAGGAACTGTTTGCAACAAGTCGCGTTTGTCCAGGTATTGTCGGTAAAACTGGGATGCCACCAGAAAGCGTAGATGGGAACTAAGGCCTGGCAGGGAATTCAACTGCCATGATGGAATCTTCGGGTTCCTGAAAAGCAGGGAACTACTCCGGTTGAGACATTGGTATGAGTCCAAACTGTCCTTTTTCTACAGTGTGATCATCCAAAAAACAACGGAACAAACCATAGTGGGGTATTAAATGGTAGGATTAATCAGTAGAAAAAATGGTGAGAAACTATTGGATTTTGAGCCGGTTTCCCATGTTTTCCTCCAGATTCTCTCACATGTTGGAATTTCGGGTTTTTTTTCTGCATCGCCGTCAAAGTCAAAAGGAGCGCCTTGGGATGGACCACGAAGCAAAGGTAACCCAGTTCGTACAGCTCTTTGACTGTCTGTGGCGGACATCTAACAGGAGGATCTGACCAAAGATGAGAGGATTTGTTGGACTGAAGAACAGCGGTTATCGATATAAATCAGATCAATGCAAGATCATTTCAACCTGTATAGTTGGGATTACCCAAAAAAATCCAATAACTAACAAGATATAACAACTGACAAAATACTCTCAAGAATACTATCCCCCCCATTACTGATAAAGCAGGGATTGCATAATGCGGGTAGACATTGACCGACTCTGGTGCCTGCTGGGTTGAATTTTCCAGTTGGTAGATGGCAACCGTGCTTACAAAGGTGTCCCCAATCATGGTCAGTAGGTCACTAAGAGTTCAGATTCCTGGGGCGTGATCATCCAAGTGGCAGACGTTGTTGTCACAAGTGTCGTCACATTGAGACACTCCCACCTGGTCGAATCGTATTCCGTGGCCCGCTGATGCCCAAACTCTGTCAACTTCGAAGATCAAGTACCTCACGGTCAAGTGGTCAGAATCATCTGCTGCATCATTATCAGCATCAGCAACCTGAGCATCATCATCATCATCAGCAGCAGCAGCATCATCAGCATCATCATCAGCATCATCATCAGCATCATCATCATCATCGTCGTCATCATCATCATCATCAGCAGCAGCAGCAGCTGCGACATCATCATCA